AGGAACAGGTAGATACACTGTATGTCTTGTCAAGGCATACACATGCCAGAGCATGGGAGATAAACCCAAGGAAAATGAAAAGCCTGTTCCTTAGGGAAGTTACTGAAAATCTAATCGTCTGAGGACAGTGGGAATATCCCACATAACCAGATGAAGAAATTACTATATCTTGAACCTTTTGCCACTAACAAAGGAGATAAAATCTCCATTAGAGCAGGTATTCCTTAGCCTACTTTTTTCTCACTTAGAAGGCAGTCATAGGTATTTGTTGGTGAATGAATGAAACTTTCCAGTTGACCAGAGTATGGAAAGAGCTGTGTGATATTGTGATACATTAGCTTTGTCCCCAGTTCCTGGCATAGAGCTCCTAAAACCCTTGTCATTTCCTGAGTGATAGAGGTGAGAGGAAGTTATTTATAATAAGACCTTTTCAACTATACCTGAATTTATGCTAATGAGATAACTCTAGGCGGGCCTGTAGATAGCTTCTGGATGGGGTCTTTGTTGCCACAGGAAACAATCATGCAATTCGAGGGTTAGACCTCCTGAGATTGACCTTAATCACTGATGGCCAATGATTTTAATCAATCATGCCTACATAATGGACTCTCCACAAAAACCCTAAATGATGGGGTTCAGAGAGCTTCCACGTTGGTAATGCATCACAGTGCCGGAAGGGTAGCTGCACCCCACCTCCCACATCTTGCCCTGTGCATCTCTTCTATTTGGCTGTTTCTAAGTTGTATCCTTTATAATAAATCAGTAATGCTAAATAAAGTGACCTCCAGAGTTCTGTGAGCCATTCTAGCAAATTATCAAACCCAGGAGCAGGTCACAGTCATCCCCAGTCAGAAGTATGGGAGGCCTAGGACTTGCGATTGGTGTCTGAAGTGGGGGCAATCTTGAGGGACTGAGCCCTTCACTTGTGGTGCCTGGAGCTTAGTCCAGGTCATTAGTGTACCCAGATTCAGAATTAAATTGACTCACTGGGCACCCAGTTGGTGTCCCAAGAGTTGGAGAATTGGCTGTTGATGTGAACAAAATAAAATGCACACAATTTGGTGTCATGAAAAAGAATTCATCATCTGTATCCCATGTGAACTCTACCCCCAAATATCTACGACAGAGAATACTATGAAGCCATCGGTAAATCAGATGATCGTTCTGTGGCTCTCGGTCAGCGTCTTTCCCCAGCCTCCACGGTGCATGGTCAATGGGCTCATGAACAAAATACTCAGCTATGCTTAGCCAGGTGTCACCAATGGAGATCCACCTTGTTAACAGCAGCAAGCAGTACTGAACCCCCCTTGTGGGATGGTTTCTTAGGGAGAGCAGCCAAATACCTGGCATCTGAAGAGTACGTGGGACCCCTTCCATCATGGAATGAGCAGTGAGTTTCTTCTCCCTGGAGTGATTACCCCGGGGCTGTTATTTGCTTTCCTAGCCTTCCGCACTCCTGCCAACAGCAACATCTGTGTCTGCACTCAATGGCCCTATTCATCATCATGTTAACCCATAAAATATTGCTTCTGATCAAGGAACTCACTCAGTTTGTTAGGAAGTCAGTGGGTGGGTCCATGTACCCCATCACTCAAAAGCAGTTAGCCTCAGAGAACAGAGGCATGGCTTGTCTGTGACTGGGTTACAGTGCCAGGCTGCAGACAACATCGCTGGGTTCAGGATTTTGTCCTCCAGCGTGTGTAAACACTGAACCAGTGGCACATGCATGCTGCCAGATTACACACACCCGGGAACCCTAAGGTATCACTGCTCTAGGTCACACCCCGATGACTCACTCTTTACATGTTTGCTTCCCGTTCCCCTGCCCTGAACTCTGCAGTTATGGGGTTTTAGTGTCTAAATGGGGAAATAGAAGGAAGGCTTTCACCGGTGAACATGAGATAGTAAGTTGTGTGAGTGGACACCGCTCATGGACTATTCGGAGTATCTCAGGAGTGCCACTACTGGGTCAGGCAAAGAGAGTGACTGATTTGGGCAGAAAGGAGGGGGTGGGGAGATGCTGCTACGCTGGGGACCAAGGAGGTGTGTGAATAGAACCTGGGGCCGTCCCTGGAGAACCTCTAACTAATGCCACATCCTGACTCCTGTCTGTCCTGATGCGGACTTCATCAGGGCTCAGAATGACATTGGGTCTGTGCCTACCCCTTTTGCAGGGGCACAAAACTGGGCAAACAGGCTCCACACCCCTCCCATCTCTGCCCTCCCTTCCCATACTGCAGAGCTCGCAGTATCCAGTCCCCCCAGCCCCTCCCACCTCCGTAGGGCACGCAGCCGGGTATACAGAGCTCCCAGACCCCTTCGGACCCCTCCCTTCACCACTCGCGCGGCCTCCATCCCTGGATTCAGGCCTCAAAGCTTCCACCTTCGTCGGCCTGGAGGGCACCCAGCAGCAGCAGCGAGGTCAGCGCCCCGTTAGCTCAGCGTTGCTGAGCATCCGCAGTCGCCACCAGGCCCCGCCCCACGGCATCCGCGAGCCAGGCCGCGCCAAGGATTGCAGAGTGCGGTGAGTGTGCACAGCCGGCAGGGAGGGACCCTGGCGGCCGGGTCCCCGCCCCACCCGACCCCAGACCTTCGGCTCCTTCTGGCTTCTTGGCTGTCAATCGGTGTCAGGGCCCCAGAGCCGCCCCTAGAAAAGGACCCTGCAGCCCCTCCCTGCTCGGGGACTCGAGCACACCGGCCCCCGGAGCCCCTCCCCTCTTGCAGGGATCAGGAATCGGGCTCCCCCAGCCCCATCCTCATTAAGCTTCTGAGCCCCTCCCTCTTACCAGGAGCCAGGAATTCAGGCCAAAAATATCTCTCTCTCCCTTCCAGAGCCAAGAGGCTCCGCTTGCAACCACTTCTACTCCAAACACCCAGGCGTCCGAGCTTTGACTGCTCTTTTGAGGCAAGAATCTGGGTCCCCAGACTGCGAGTCCTGTGGAACACGGGAGTCAGTGCCCCCAACTCCTGTGGCCCTAGATTCTAGGAATTTTGCTGCCAACACCCCACCCCCACCCCACCCCCCTCTGTGACATTTGGGACCCAGGGATCCAGCCCACCAGTCCTTTCACCTCAAGTCCCAGTGTAAATGACGATTAGGGGACCCATTTTGTTCCTCCCTGATCCTTAAGTACAGGAATCCAACCACTGTTCTTTTGGGGACCCAGGAGTCGGGGACCTTAGCTCAGAAGCCTCCTGAAGCCCAGAGATCGGTACCTCTTTCCTCTTTCAGGGGCCCAGGAGACAAAGACCCTAACCCACAGACCCCATTACACTGAGGCTCGGTCCTCAACCCCCTGCGACCCAATGTCCAAGATTTCATCCATCCTGGAAGGTGGGGCTGGAGCAGACGGAGAGGGAGGGGGCAGGAATGGAGAGAAAAAAGTGAATGAGGTGAGGTTAGGGTGCGGACGTGGGCTGAGGGTCTCTGTGGTAAACAAATGCTAAACAAGCAGATAGCCATGGCAACGGCCTTCCTGGGCCTCCCCTAGAGACACCACTGGGGCTGTGTCGGGGAGGGCAGCCCCTAGGAGCCCCTTCTCCAGCTGTTGTGTCTTCCTGTTTTGTCACCATGGTGACAATGACCTCAGCCTTCCATCCCCCACCTCCGGCAGAGCGGGAGAGGTTCATTTACCCTCGAGGGGCGTGGTCTTGTGTTGGCCCCGCCCCGGGGCGGGACTGGGATAGCCCTGGCTGGGGCGTCCCTTCTCGGCCAGAGCCCTATGCTTCGGCCCCACCCCCGGCTCCGCCCTCGCTCCCTCCCCAGCCCGCCAACCTCATCCAGTTCGCAGACCCTTCCAGTCTGCAGCTGTCGCCTCTGTTTCAGCTGCAGCCGCCACAGGTCCGTGAGGTGAGGCTGCGGTGATTCTCGAGGGTGTCAGGAATTTTGGGTGCACAGGGAGGGAAGGGCTGGGATTCAGAATGTCTGAGTCCCTAGAAAGACTGGGGCTGGGCCAAGACTCGGGTTCTGGAGTGGAGAGGGCTGGGAACCTGGATCCATACAGGTCATACGTCTGAAAGAGGAGGAAGGACGGGGGACCTGGACTGCTGGGTCTGATGGAGGAGGGGCTGGGGGCCTGGACTCTTGGGTCTGGGGACGCAGAGGGATGGGAACTCTTAGGATCCCGGGTTGAAGGGGGCTGAAATCTGGTACGAGGACGTCCTCAGGAGGCACTTGGAGTTGGGAGTCTTGAGTTTGGGAGAGAGAGGCTGAGGTTCAGAATTACTGACCTCCCCACACTGGGGACAGATTCTAAACTTTGAACTGGAAAAGCCAGGGGCAGAGATCCAGCACCTATGCTCCCGGAGCGCGGTTGGAGCTGGGAAGCCAGCGCCCTAAGGCCGAGAGAGGACAAAGCCAAGGCCGAGGCCAGCATCCCTGGATGTTGAGAGCACAGGCTGATTCTGTAGAGTGATGGGGTGTGGTGCTGGGCGTGGAGGGCGGGGTGTGGCCTGAGTTGTGTGGAGTGTTCCTCTCCCTCCAGTGTCTGGCCGCGCATTCCTGAGCTCTGTCTCAGGCGACCCTGAGGGTGGCCCCTGAGTTAACCTGACTTCCACCGGACACTTCAGGAGCTCTGGCTCGTCCTCTTCCTCCTGGGCGGCCCCGACTTCCTCCCAACCGGTCCTGGAGGGGAGTGGGGAAGGCACCTTCCAGGTGGCTCGGGAGCTCTGACTTCCTGGAAGTGGTGGGAGGCTACTCATCTCTGTTGTGGTTTCAACGCAGTGCAGTTTAGGGCCTCGAGGCGGCGGGTCTCCGCCAGGTGAACACGGACCCCCAGGTTCCCGGTCACTCCTCCGTTAAAGACCCTCTTGGGGGAACCAGGCGCCCAGCCCGTCTTCATAGGGACCCAGAACTCACATGTTGAACGTCCCAGAAATTTGGGTTCTAGCCCTTACCTGCTAGGACCCGGAGTCTAAGGTCCTCGCCTTTCCCCCTCCCCCCGCAAACCAGCGAGCGGGGCGGGCCTTCCCGAAGGCCACCGCGGGGCGGGGGTCCCGGCGCCGCCTCCGGGTCCCAGCCACATTCCAGATGGCTGGGCTGACTTGAAGTCCTTATAAGGCTGGGAGATGCGCGCCCGCCTGGCCTCCCGCCCCCGTAGCCTCCGCCCAGGGCCCTCCCGCCCGCCACGCCGCTGCCGACGGGCGAGGGTAAGGTTAAGATCACACACGCCCACGCCGGCCCGAGGGGCATGCGCTTTCGCCGCGCAGCCGTTGTTTCGGCCTCCGCAGTTAGGGGACCAGGAGAGGGGGCGGGGCTGCCCTGGGGTCACCTCCCGGACCTGCCCCCGATTGAGAGGCGCGCCCAGCCTGCGGAGTCTCCAGGCGGGTTCTGGGTAGGCCCCCGCGGCGGGCTGACGGGTAGTCTGGGTCCTGAGAAGGCGGAGCCCGGACTGAGCTGGATGCTGACGTTCTCTCTCCCTCCTGTGTTCTGATTAACCTTTTCCAGGTTTCTGACTTCATCTGCTTCCACATCCGGATCTTTCTCCGTCGGGGTCCTCAGCTAAGACCACTGGTGAGTGGACTTGGGACCCAGGCTTCTGGGCCTGAGGGAGGAGGGGCTGGGAGCTGAAAGCCTGGACTTGTGTGTCAGAGGGAGGAGGCGGCTGGGGGGTCTTAAATACTTGGGTCTAAGAGTGGATTGGGCTGGGGTCCTGGATTCCTAGATACTGAGAGAAGTACCTGGGAGCTTGGGTTGCAAGGAGAGGGGCACAGATACCTGTGTATCTGAGGAAGTGTGCCCTAAAGCTGGTCTCCTAAGTTCTCAGGGAGCTGCTGTGCAGGGGGCGAGACGGGAAGACGTTAAAGCCTGTTGTGCAGGCGCCTGACACAGGAAGAAGGAAGTTTTATTTCCCTGAGCTGAGAGAGACCTTCCGAGCTTTTCAGAAGTGGCAGCGGAGACTAGACGTTTTAAGGCCTGAGGGAGGATCTGGCCCCCAAGAGGCTGGGTATTGGATTCTTGAGTATCTTTAGGCCAGGAAGTAAAAGCTGTAGGTTCTGAAGAATGAAGTTGATTTCCCAAAGTGCTGGTGTCTGGTGTGCCCAGGGTTGGGGACCCAGAGTCTTGAGGTCTGAAGCTGTATAACTGAACCCCTGCGGGAGGCCTAGAGATTTCAGAAGGGGCGAGGGCCCTGGACAGTTGAGAAACTGGGAGTTTCCCTGAAGTTGGGGAATTACTGTTTCCCCTAAAATAAGACCTAGCCAGAAAATAAGCTGTAGCATTTTAGGTGCTGAATATTTTAAGCTGAAGGAGTTTGTGGAAAAGGCACCCTTCTCCCTGAAACAGGTCATAAAACCCTCATGTGAGGCATACATGCCCTCCATACCCTGGAGGAATCATGCTACAGCTTATTCTCCGACTAGGTCTTATTTGGCTAGGTCTTATTTTTCGGGAAACACAGTAGCTGGCTGGATTCCTTAGGGAGTTGGACTCCACATGTTGGGGAGGGGGGATAGGCAGGAGGAAGCACTACTTCCTTTGGGTTGAAGTTCTCCAGATGGAAATCCCAGGTGGGAGGGTGGAGACTTATAATCTGTGAGGCAGGGAGGTGGAAAGGTGGGGGTGCTGCCCAGAGGTTAGCAGCAGTTCCAGAGCCAGGCTGGAAGCTCTGATCAGATGTGCGTCCCTGAGAACACACACATGTGGAAGCTGGACCCTTCAACTTTTGGAGGCTGGAGATATCCGGGCCTCCTAGGTGAAGGAGGAAGTTGGGCACAAGGGTTGGGGTGCAGAGCCCTGCGCACCCAAAAGGAGGAAGTTGAGAGAGATGGGTCAAGAGATAATGGAACACAGGTCCTCTTGTTCTGACAGTGGTAGTGGGGGAGGTGGGGGACGGGATGCATTAGAGCCCCGTCTTGAATGGCTAGGCTGCCGAGTTCCTAGAGGAAGGAGGGCAGTCTTGAGTGTCTGGAGTGGGAAATAAGCTCTGTGGTTTTACAGGAGTTGAGTTGCAGGGAGAGGAAAGGCACGAGAGTCCAGGTTACTTTGTCCCTTGCCTCCCTCCCCTCTCCAGCCCCAGGCAAGGGCTGGGGGGCCTGGATTGTAATCATTGGAACCTTCCTAGGATACCTTTTCTCTTCTTGCAGCCATGCCGGTGACGGTGACCCGCACGACCATCACGACCACCACCACGTCATCATCCTCAGGCCTGGGCTCCCCGACCATTCTGGGGTCCCCTCGGGCACTGACTCAGCCCCTGGGCCTCCTCCGCCTACTACAGCTGGTTTCCACCTGTGTGGCCTTCTCACTGGTGGCCAGCGTGAACGCTTATAATGGGTTCATGGGGAACTGGTGCATGTTCGCCTGGTGCTTTTGTTTTGCTGTGACCCTCCTCATTATCATCGTGGAGGTCGGTGGGCTCCAGCCACGCTTCCCACTGTCCTGGCGCAACTTCCCCATCACCTACGCCTGCTACGCCGCCCTCTTCTGCCTCTCGGCCTCCGTCATCTACCCCAGCACCTACGTCCAGTTCATACCTTCTGGTCGCACAAGGGACCACGCCATTGCTGCCACCGTCTTCTCGTGCATCGCTTGTGTGGCTTATGCCACTGAGGTTGCCTGGACCCGGGCCCGGCCCGGCGAGATCACTGGCTACATGGCTACGGTGCCAGGCCTGCTCAAAGTGGTTGAGACTTTCGTGGCCTGCATCATCTTTGCCTTCATCATCGACTCTCGACTGTACAAGTACAAGCCGGCCCTGGAATGGTGCGTGGCCGTCTATGCCATCTGCTTCATCTTGGCGGCCGTGGCCATCCTGCTGAACCTGGGCGACTGCACCAACATGCTGCCCATCCCCTTCCCCACTTTCCTGTCTGGGCTGGCCCTGCTCTCCGTCCTCTTCTATGCCTCTGCAATGGTACTCTGGCCTCTCTACCAGTTCGACGAGAAGTACGGTGGCCAGCCCCATCGATGGAAGGATTTAAACTGCAAAAAGAGTCACCCCTACTATGTGTGCGACTGGGACTGCTGCCTGGCTGTGGCCATCTTGACAGCCATCAACCTGCTGGCGTACGTGGCCGACCTGGTGTACTCAACCCGCCTGGTCTTTGTCAGGGTCTGAGGCTCTGACCAGGAGCTCCCAATTCCTTCCTCTCTCCACAGGTTTCTTCACTGAGTTCTGATGTCCTCTTCCTGGCTCCCCTCTCCTCCCTTATCTCCTTCCTCATTCAGCTCCCTCTCTTCTGTTTCATTCACTCCTGCTCTCCCTGGTCTTGTTTATCAGTCTCCTCCCCTTCCTGTTTTGTTTGGTTGCCCACTTTCTGTTTTGTCTACATTTTGCCTTTCTTTTTCCACTCTCTTTTCTACTTGGTTTGTTGTTTGGTTCTTTTCTGGCTGTCCTGTTTGTTTTCTCATCGGCCTGTTTCCTTTTCCCATTTTCTTTCTTTTGATTTCCTTGCCAGCCCTGAAACCTCTTTGTCCCCCTCCCCGCCCACCTCCAAAGGTGCTGAACTCCACATGCCACACCCCTCTTTGCAGCTGTTCAGACCCTGGGCCTCCTGAGGGGCCTCATTGCCAAAGCATGCCTGCTCCGCCTGGCTGTGCCTTTGTAGGTGTGTGTGTGTGTGTGTGTGTGTGTGTGTGTGTGTGTATTTTGGGTGGGGGGATAGCTAGGGATTGGGTATGTACAGTGTACCTCCCCTTTGAATTAAAAAAAAAAATTCCTAGAGGTCAATCATTTCCAGTGGGCTGGAGGCTTAACGTACATTCCCTGGGTCCCTAGGCCCCACCTGGCACTTAGCCTCACCTGAGATTGGCTCTAGAATTTTTGCCAGGCTTACTAAAAACCCACTGCCTAGAGGCCATCTTAAAGGAAGCGAGGGTGGTGGATGCTACCCCAACTACTACTCCCTAGGGTATTAAGAAAGGAGCCGGCAAAGAACCATAATGTCTTGAAAGCAACTATCTGAAGTATTTGTGATGGGCAGTGATATGGCCCTCCAGCCTCAGTGTTTAAAATAGCATGTACTGCCTTTGCTGCGAGGAGAAAATGGCCACTGCTGGCCTTAAAGGGGATGTTAACCTGGTTTTTGTTTTTGTTTTTTCTTTTCTTTTTCCTGGTTGCTAGGGCAAACATTACTGGGTGGACCTATTCTTAAAGGGGACATTTATTTTCAATTTTTTTTTTTAATTTGTGGGTGGGTTGGGTAGGTGGGGATTGCTGCTGCCATAATCCGAGGAATTGCATTGCTTGAGTGTGTGATACACATACACGTTTCTGTGTGCTAGTTGCTTTCTGCTGCTGCTTCCTGCTTCTCTGGGACTCACACGCATAACATGATATATATTTTTTTATTTTATTTTTTATTCCCTGGAGCTTCTGGTTCCCATCAGCCCCTGCTGTCAATCATAGAGGGAGGCCTTGTCCCTTCCCCACTACCATACCCACGTGTCTTTTGTTTTTTGGTTTTTTTTTACCTCGATATAAAGATAAAAGGAAGACTTGTGTTTGTTTTATTATTGGGGAGGGCTTCAGGAGAGAAGGCAAAGCCCAGATTCCTGGGTCTGGTGGGGGAAGGGGACTGGGGCCAAGACAACTTTGGCCTTATCAGAAACTAGTAGCTGAGGGGCTGGCTGAGTGGCTCAGTTGGTTAAGAGCTCAAGCTCTAAGCAACAGTGTCGCTGGTTCAATTCCCACATGAGCCAGTGAGCTGTGCCCAAGCTGAGCTGCTGCTGAGCTGCCAATAGGCAGCAGGATGGCTCAGCTGGTGAGAGCACGTGCTCTTAACAACAAGGCTGCCAGTTGGATTCCCACATGGGATGGTGGGCTGTGCGCTCCCCCGCTCCCCTCCCCCCAACTAAGATTGAACACAGCACCTTGAGCTGAGCTGCAAATGGGCAGCCGGTTGGCGACAGGACTTGGAGCTGAGCTAGCTGCACCCTCCACAACTAAGATTGAAGGATAACAACTTGGTTGTTTCCCTTCTCCAGTTCCTCAACACTCTTCCCGCAATTCCCCAATAAAAAGCTTAAAAAAAAAAAAAAAGAAGAAAACAGTAGCTGAGCCTAGATCTTCTGAATTACTCTCAAACCAGGAGAGCTAGTTAGGCTAGAAATGAACACGATTTTTCCCTCCTTAAAGTCCCATGAGCGCTTCAGAAATAATACAAGGTCCCAATCTGAGTGGCATCTTTCCTCTAATAGCAACTCTTCCAGGTTCCCCATCTCAGTAATAGGCTCTTGGGGCTGAGAACCTAGGCACTTGATTTTACCGGCTCCTCTCTGTAAGTTGCTCAGCCAACACCTCAGTTCTTCTTAAGTGCTATTTTTTATCTATCCCCTTCTTAAGGTTCCTGACCCAGCTAACGTTTCATTGTTTCACCTGAGCTATCAACACAGCCTCCACAATCTTACCTGCAGCCCACCTTGGTCCCAGAGGGTACTTCCAACATCCAGGTCTGTCCCTGCCCTCCCCTCCTCACATCCTTCCATGTCCCACTCCACCTTGCCTATAGGTAATACCAGAGCCCCTCAGTCGGCCATTCAAGGCCTTTCAGGATCCAACTCTGCCTACATTCCCACTCTCAGTTCTAAGCTTCCTGTCACACCTGGTCAATAGAAGATCTTGATAAAAGATCAAATGAATTACTGCTGCAATGAGTCTGTCCCACAGAAGGTCATTTTGCCCAGTTTTCCAGCCTGAGGAGAATCATAAATATATAAGTCCAGGGAAATTCCAAGATCATGCCGCCCATTTTCTGCACCTACACCCGCTAAAGCAGTTGGGAAAGGGAATTACAAGGAAGGGGAGGGTCCCGCTGAAAGAGGGGAAGAACTAACTAGAACAGGCAAGCACTCCATTTTGGTGAGGAATAGCCTCTGATCTCTGCAGTGTCCACCCCAGAATTCTGACCTACACCAACCCCTGCCTCATTAAAGGGCGTCTCCTCCCTCTCCCTCTGTCTCTCCCACCCCGGCCCATGCTTTGAACCCCTTATGGCAGGCACCAGAGAGCCGCTCTAGAACCCGGAGGTGAAATGGTGATTAGAAAAAGAACCCCAGGAGCACTGAACAGAGCGCTGTAGGATTCCAAGATCCGTTTTCGGGGCCACCCCCGCACCCTATCTGCTCTGGGGCACGGCGGACGCCTGGAGGTGGTTGGAAGGCCAGAGGACCCCATGTTTGGAGGGTTAGGACAAGACTCAGACTCTCCCACCCCCATTTCGGCTCCGGAAGCCCAACCCGACTCTAAACAGTCCTGGAGAAGGTGCGGCGTGCGTCCCTAACCCTTAGGCACCGCCTCAGCGCCCCACCCCTCTTTGCGGGGCACGCCGGGAGCGGGAGTTCTCGGTCACGTCACGAGAACAGGCGGTGCGCAGGCTGGGACTACAAGTCCCAGGAGGCACAGCGCTCCGCAGCCCGGGGAGGATCGTGGTTGCCTTTGGCAACTAAGCGGCTCTCCTGAAGCGAGGACTGGGAAGCGCTCGGGAGCTAGGGGAAACGTAGTTCGACCATGAGCAGAAGTGCTGGTGGAGTGAGGGAGGGGCGACAGGAGGAGACCCACAGGGCCAACGTTCGGAGAGACCCTCCCAACCCCCGGACCAATGCGTAGACAGAGAACTCCAGAGCCAGAGGACAGGGACTGAATCGCAGAGAGACATGGAGGGAGGGAGAAACCCCTCAGAGACAAAGAGAGATTCATAGAGTCAGGCAAATAGAGTGGGTGAGAAAGGGACACAGATAGGTGGGGGGAGAGAGGGAGAGAGACCCTCCCCTCCCCCAACAGAGGGAGAGGGTGGGTCGGGAGAGGGACAGGCACAGAGAGATTAGGAGGCAGAGGCAAGCACAAACAGAAAGGGGGGGGGGCAGAGTCGCAGAGACAGAAAGGAGAGAGAGACAAAAGCAGGTAGAGACAGAAGGATTTAGAGAGACACCCAGAAAGAGGGAGACACCAACAAAGAAAGTCACAGGATGAGTGACACACACAGGTGGGAGAAAACAGAGAAATAGAAATTATCAGAGACAAGGAAAGGAAAACCCATCCACCCAGAGACAGAAACAGAGAGATAGAGAGAGCAGGAGCGCCAGGAATCCAGGGAGAGGAAAAGAGACAGACAATCCCAGAGGGAGACATAGCCATAGAGATTTACAGAGGCCCTGAGAGAGAAGACAAGACCCCGGTGGCAGCTGGCAGACGAGAAAGTGAGACACCGAGTCTCCCTGTTCACCACTGGATCCCACCACCTAATACAAAGTTTGTAGGTTGAAACTGAGTGACACAGTCAGAGACTGAGAGATCCAAGTGGAGTCGCAGTGGGTTACCAGGAGCCACCGAGGCACCCGCGTAGGAATGGAAAGCGGGCCCGGCGACAGATTGGAGTGGGGAGAAAGCACGGCTCCGAAGATGCCCCCTCCCTCCAGCCAGCCCCCGCGGAGGGGGTGTGCGTACATGTCCGGAGGGTAGGGGGAGGGCATTTGTCTCCTGTTCAAGGAGGGGGACGCCTTTAAGCCGAAATCCCGCCCCTCGGTCGTCATGGCAACGCCTCCCCCTACCCGGGGCTCCCACATTTCAGCAGGTGCTAGAGCCGGAGCTCCCGCCGCCGCCCGTGCCTCCGGCAGCTCGGACCACTGCCCTCGGCTCTGCACCCCAGTCGCCCGCACCCCCTGGGTGCTCTCGGGGGGGGGTGCGCTGCCTGCCCCGCGCGCTCACTCCTAGAGGTGCCTCGTCCCTCTCTTCCCCTCCTCGGGCTCTCCCCGTGGCTCCGCTGCTCTCCCGAGTCTCCGGCTCTTCGCCTTTCCACCTGTTCCCCCAGAAAGGCAGGATCCTGGTCCCTGCGACGTTCCTGGGGCCATGGCAGGCCTGGGCCCCGGCGGAGGCGATTCAGAGGGGGGCCCCCGGCCCCTGTTTTGCAGAAAGGGGGCTCTGAGGCAGAAGGTGGTTCACGAAGTCAAGAGCCACAAGTTCACCGCTCGCTTCTTCAAGCAGCCAACCTTCTGCAGCCACTGCACCGACTTCATCTGGTGAGGGAAAGGGGTAGGGGCCTGCGGGATGAGGGGACTAGGGTAGAGACCCCTGTCACACCAGACCCCTCAGTAATGAGGAAAGAGGGGGCTGTAGTCCTGGCTCCTGGTCCTAGGGTAGGAGGGGGCTGAGAGCCTGGGCTCCTGAGTCTGGAGGAGGAGGGGCTGGGGGTCCTGGGATGCTGGGTCTGAAAGAAGGGGCTAGGGGCCAGCATTTTTGGATTCTAGGAAGAGGAGGCGGCTGGGGCTTAGACTCCTGGCTCCTGTGGGAAGAGGGTCAGAGGCCTCCTATGGCAGGTGTGAGGGGGTCCAGGAACCCTTTTGTGCACTGACCTCAGATCTTTGACTCTTTCAGGGGGATTGGAAAACAGGGCCTGCAATGTCAAGGTAAAAGCTGGGGACCTGGACTCCTGGGACCCTCAGGAGGGTGAAAGCTGGGGGCCCACAGCTGAGGCTGCTTGACACACGTGTTCTCTAGTCCCCAGAGAGGCGCGGGGGAGCCCGGGGCGGGGGGGTGTGGCAGAGACACAGCCTGTGGTGGGGAGGGAGCTCTGATGGTGGGGCCACCGCGGAGGTGGTGCTGGGGGCCCCTCCCTTGGGCGGCTCCAGGTGGGGACAGATATTTGGAGAATCTGTTGCCATGGGAACAGGGAGATTTGGAAAAGGGGAGCTGAAGGGGGGGCTGAAAATGCAAAGTCAGAGCCCCCCCAGGCTGCCATCACCATGACGACATCCACCGCCCTAGGCAGGGGCATGGGGGGGTGGGGTCACTGATGGGCGGGTGGGGCCAAGGAGGGGGGCCAGCAGTTATGGGGGACGGGAGAGGGGGTTGAGTCCTAAAGCACCAGCTGCTACTGCTGAGAACAGAGTGAGTCAGGGAGGGCGGTGGCCGGCATCAGCGCCCCCAGACTCACTTCTGCCCAAGTTGCTGCTCTCTGTTCTATCGGAGGCTATCGCTATGTGTTTTTTCTTCTGCCTGCCTCTCTCCTTCTGGCTTTCTTGTCTCTCTCTGAGGGCCTGTGTCTGTCAGTGGGATCCTATTTTCTCGCATTCCCTTTGGCTGTGTGTATGCACTGGGCTCTCTGTGACTCTGCATCTCTATTTCTGTCTTTGGATCCCTCTCTTGAATTTCATCTCCTGGGTTTTTTGTTTTTTGTTTTTGTTTGTTTTGTTTTTTCTCTTTCTTGGTCTGCATGTGAATCCTCTCCTTTGATTTTCTCTCAATTGAACTCTATGTATATCAGCGTCACTCTCTGGTTTTCTTTCTGTAGGGGTCTCTCTGATTTTCTGTCCATTCTCTCTGTCTCTGTGTCTCTATGGTTCTCACCTTCAGTCTGCAGCTTTGTGGTTCATCGACGATGCCACGAATTTGTGACCTTCGAGTGTCCAGGCGCTGGGAAGGGCCCCCAGACAGACGTGAGTGCCCGGACACCTGGTTCTTCCTCCTCAGGCTGCGCCCCCGCCCTCATCCCCTCTGCGTCCGTCCCAATTTCTTCTGCTATTTTTAAGGCTGGGAGGGGAGGGGGGCTGGAGAGATAAGGGGAGCTAGTCTGGCCCAGATTCCCTGCCCTTGGCCTGGAAAGGGGAAATCAGAGGAGACTGAGACAGGATGGAAACACAGGTGGGGGACAGAGAGCAGGGTGAAGCAACCAAAGACCGGCACTGGAGGGGGTGGGCTGTATACCAGTGCTCAAGAGATTTAAAAACAGAGAGCTGAGGAAAATATTGATGCAGGCACTGAGATCCTGAGATAAGAGGAGAGGGAATCTGAGAGAGAGAGAGAGAGAGAGAGAGAGAGAGAGAGAGAGAGAGAGAGAGAGAGAGAGAGAGAGAGATGGAACAGAGACAGCAACACAGGAGGAAGGAAAAGGGGACCTGGAGAGATTGAGAGAGAGAGAGGTAGGACAGAGACACTCAGAGAGACAGAGGTGCAGATACCTGGAGAGAGACTAGAATAGAAAATGGTGGATATGGAAAATAGCTGAGGTGCTCAGAGAGGGAGGCCCAGAGAGATCTTGTAATATACATGCACACACACATGTGCATATGCAGGTCCCCCATGTGCACACACATGTGCATATACAAATCCCCATGTGCACACACTGTGCATTTACAGATCCCCATGTACACACACATTTGTGCATATACAGATCCCATGTGCACACACACATTTGTGCATACACAGATCCCCATGTGAACACACACGTGCATTTACAGTTCCTCATGTACACACACACACATTCGTGTACAGTTTTCTTTTCTTTTCTTTTTTTTTAGCTGCGCCATCCTGCCACCTGTTGGCAGTTCAGTGGCAGCTCAGCTCAGGCCGGGAATCGAACTGGGGACCCTGTTGCTCAGAGCTCGCACTCTTGAGTGAGCTCATAACCAACTGAGCCACTCGGCCGGCCCTCATGTACAGTTTTCTTATGTGCACAAAACACACATACACACAATTGTCTCCCTCCCTGCCCCCCTACATTAGGGGGTTACAAAAATAGCCCATCACTGGCCCGTCCTTCACTTTCTGTCTGGCTGTGGGGCTCTTTTCTCTGAGCCTCAGTTCCTCTCACCACCACCTCCCCTATAAAGTGGGGCTGACAGTCTAGTGTTGACCAATAGAGCCACTCCTGGGCTCGAATTCCAGCCCTGCCACATATTGGTCCTGTGATGGAAATGTTCCATATCTGCCCTGTCCAATATGGAAGCTACCAGTCACACAGCTAGTGAGCACATGAAAGGGGCCACTGCGACTCAGGGAGGGAAATCTAAATTCCATTTAATTTGAATTGATTTAAACTTAATAGCCATGTGTGGTTAGTGGCTACAGTATGGGACAGTATAAATCTAGACATCCCAGGCGTGTTTGACAGTTTGATGAAGTCAGGTGGGTTAAGAGTGTAGCTCAGGTTTTGACACAGGGTTGGAAATGGTTTTATGATTAGCAGATTGAGAAAGAGGCAGAGAGAGAAAGAGAGATGGCACCACAGAAGCTGATGATTAATTTTGCCAGCTTGTCAGGTGAAGAAAATTGAAGTTTACACAGAGGATGTGACCATAGAACATACATTGAGCACCACTGTCTACCGGCACCTATATACGTTACTGACTAGCTGCCTCACCTGCCCACTTCCACTACCAATGCTAGTTCTGATTTATCCAGTGTTCAGTGCACACACTCAAGCAGGTATGGTGAATGCAGTATACAATTGAATCCAGTAGGGACTTGTTCTGTTCTCATCTGACCAGAGGCTCCCAAACCAGATCACCTGGGCTCGAATCTCAGCCCCACCACCTATTGGCTCTGCGACCTTCCTCCAGTTAGCCTACTTCTCTGCACCTCTTGAGTTCATAACCTCTAAAGTGAGGAGGATAACCATGCTCACCTTATAGAATTGTTTTGAGAACTAAATGTATTAAAAGCTTGGGACTACACCTGGCAAATGGCAAGAGACAAAATATTAATTAGTATCATGGTTAAAATTATTACTATTACCAATGAGGAAACAGAGGTGAATTAGTAAAGAGGTGATCTTTCTTCTGCATCAGTCTGGCTTCTTTTTTTTTAATTCTTAATGCTTTTGATCTTGTAAGTAACATGGATCAAGGGCTTAAGAAGTGCTAAGGGCTTCACAAGTATGATTTCATTTAGTCTTCAGGTCTCTTGCAGGGAAGGCTCACAGCCCTCATCTTATAGGAAGGAAGCCTGGGTCCCTGGAATGGGTGGGGCGAGCCCACACAGCTGGGTAGTGGGCAGAGTCAAAATCTGAACTCTGATCAATCTAATTGGAGCCCCAGGACTGTCTCCTTTTTAATCATGACTTTCACCTCGAGAACAATAGCAACAGCTTCTATCCATGGAACAGTTGTGTGCCAGGCACCTTGCTGAGGGCTTTCACACACAGTGTCTCATTCCATGAGGCAGGACACCTTTAGAGGTCTAGAGCATTGAAAGAGATCATGGCAACTGCCAACACCCTCCTGCCACCCAAGTGTCATTCAAAATAGGATCCCCACTAAACTGCCAAATAAATAAAAGTCCAAGAATGTCCTGAATTTTCACCCTAGGATAACTTGCAATGCATTCTTCACAAAAGGAAAATATTAAATGATTTCACACTCAGACCTTGCCAAAGGTGGACGGAGGAGTGCTCTACTGGCGCCCTAAATTCTTGCTTAATTGGACTCTGGACAGTTAGCATTGCTTCATGATATAGATTATTTATTTCCATTGGGCAGAGGAGGAGGCTGAGGGTCAAAATTGGGCATGAACTTGCCCCAAATCACATAGCTGGGAAATAGCCTCACTCATATTTAAACCCGGGGCTATGTGGGGATTGCAATAAAATAACTAATAACTACAGCAGTAAGAGTAACAGTACCAAACACATTTAATATGCCAGACCCTGCTGTGTGGTTTTCATTTGGGATGCCTGAGGCTGTATAACAGAGGTCAGATTCTCCATCCCATCAGGGGCTGAGAGAAGGCAGATCATCAGTGGGCAGACATTGACAGAAGCTGACAGTGAGCGATCTGAGGTTCATGGTGGCCCACAAGTCCTCAAAGAACAGCTTGTGGGAAGTGGGGGTGCAGGGGCTATGGGATGTTGGGAGCCTCACCTCCCACAAGGTTCTTTCCACACCTTGTTAGTGATGCTGTCCCTGATTGACCACTTTATTTCAAATTTCAGCACCCCCCTCCCCAGGCCCCTTTCCTGCTTCATTTTTCTCCGCAGCACCTATCACCATCCATCATATAACATTTTATTTATCATGTTCATTTTCTGTCTCCCTCCGCTAGAAAGCAAACTCCATATGGACAGGAGTTTTTACTTGTTTTATTCACTACTGGGTCCCTAGAACAGTGCCTTGCACACAGTAGGTGCTCGATAAATACAGTAGAGTGAATGAGTGAGGTGGAACATCAGGAAGACTGGGAGGGCAAAGCGGAAGAAGGAACAGTTCAGAGGGCTGCCTCCCAGGGTTCCAGGGCATCCCTGGCGCCCCCTCTGACGGACTCCTGTCTGCCCCCAGGATCCCCGGAACAAGCACAAGTTTCGTCTACACAGCTACAGCAGCCCCACCTTCTGCGACCACTGTGGCTCTCTCCTTTACGGGCTGGTACACCAGGGCATGAAATGCTCCTGTGAGTCTACACTCGCTGCTCAAGCCAGAACTTGGCGCATCTGGGGCCCCTTCAAAAGCACATTGTCTAGGTTTGGGGAAGTGCTGGGGGATGGAGTCTGGGGCTTGGAGAGGGGCCTGAAGCGCTAACCCATTTTGTCCCCCAAGGCTGCGAGATGAACGTGCACCGGCGCTGTGTGCGCAGCGTGCCCTCTTTGTGTGGCGTGGACCACACGGAGCGTCGCGGACGCCTGCAGCTGGAAATCCGGGCTCCGACCGCGGATGAGATCCACGTCACGGGTGAGGCCCCGCCCTTTTACCACGCGTGCTGGGCCCGTTGAGTTCACCTGCGCTGTCCCCCACCCCAACCCGGGAAGACCTCGCCCTCTCGAAGGCCATGCCCATACTTCTGATCCCACCTGCAAAGGCTGAGCACCACCCGGCCATGCCCCTTCTAGCTGGCAGCTCCATCTCCAGCCTTGCCTCTTGTAACTTTCAGCCCCTCTTACTGGCCATTTGAGGCGTCAAGGTCCTTGAGAGGGAGGCATGAGAGAAGACCTGGTTCCAAGGGAGGCTTGGGTTTACCACTGCTGATATGGCCAGGTCCTGGCTCCTGGGTCCTAATGGAGAAAGGGGCTGATTTCGGAGTCACTGGCTGGGAAAAGGGCTTTATGCCCTGTCTTCTAGGTACCGGACAGGTAAAACATCAAAGACACCTGGTCATGAGACAGACGGACGGCTGAGAGCTTGGAATTCTTGATGCTGACTGGGGGAGGACTAGTGTGCCTCTAACCCAATCTACCCTCCTTCATCTCCCTCCTCAGTTGGTGAGGCCCGTAACCTCATCCCAATGGACCCCAATGGTCTGTCGGACCCCTATGTGAAACTGAAGCTCATCCCAGACCCTCGGAACCTGACAAAACAGAAGACCCGGACGGTGAAAGCCACGCTGAACCCTGTGTGGAATGAGACCTTTGTGTTGTGAGCCTCCAGTGTAGGGGAGGCTGGGATGGCTGACAGAGGATGATCTGAGGGTCCTGGTGGTCCACAAGACCCCTAGAGAGCAGCTGGTGGGAAGTGTTAGGATAGAGGGAACCCAAAAGGGGGGCAGAAAAAGGCGGTGAGAGAAAGGAATGGAGTGATCAAGGGAGAGGAAAATGGAGTGATTGGGAGAGAGGGATGGAGATATAAAAGTTGAGAGACAAACATCTGTGTATTTAATCTCCATTAAAGCCTGCTATTTTAGAGGGAGACAGAGGGTGGGGGAGGGAAGGGGAGAGAGAGAGAGAGAGAGAGAGGGAAAGACCCCCAAAGAGAGACACAGCCGGAATAGCCGGAATGGTGTGTGTATGGAGGTTGAGCAGAGGGGTGGAGGATGGCAGGGAAAGAAAGAAGAGAAAACTGACAGAAACACAGAAGGACAGACTGGAGGGAGAAAAGGGGCACAGGGACACAGAGTAGGAGAGAGACCTGGAGAGAAAGACCAGGAGACAGGGATGGGAAGGGGCCAAGAGTGCGAGGCAGGGAGAGAGACAGAGAGCTGTCTAGGTTTACTTAGGGCTCCAGAGGTTGGCAGACCCCCTACGTGAGGACCAGAGGTGGGGAGATACTTCACACAGCTGGAAACAGATCTCAGCTGAGTGGGTTAGCCTCTTTCTTCAGCACCAAGGATGGTGAGTGAGGGAGCCTGGAGTTGGGACCCTCATTCTGCCCCCCCCCAACTCCCGCCCCTGCAGCAACCTGAAGCCAGGGGACTTGGAGCGCAGGCTCAGCGTGGAGGTGTGGGACTGGGACCGGACTTCCCGCAACGACTTCATGGGCGCCATGTCTTTTGGCGTCTCAGAGCTACTCAAGGCGCCGGTGGATGGCTGGTGAGGGCCCGAGTGGCGCAGTTGCCCACCCCCCATCTCCACCTCAGTCTATGTGTGGTCTCCCTCAAGGCCACCATCATTCTCTCTCCCCCTGCGCTTCTCTCCCCCATCCCTTCTCTTCTTACCTCGCTCTTTCTCTTCATCTCTATATCTGTCTCTCTGTGTCTCTTTCCTCCCTTTTGATGTCTCTGCCTCCACCCCCACCTGTCTCCTGCCCTCCTGCCCCCCTCTGGTCTCTGTCTGTATGTCAGGTACAAGTTACTGAACCAGGAGGAGGGCGAATATTACAATGTGCCGGTGGCTGATGCTGACAACTGCAGCCTCCTCCAGAAGTTTGAGGTATCCCGACCCTGGCTTCTCCACGAGGAGCCCAGCCCAGCCCCCTACAGTACAGAGCTGGCCCTTCCCAAGTGCTGCCTCTGGTTGCTCACTCACTGGTCCTGGGACTACAATTCCCAGAAGACGCTGGGGCTCCTTCACCTGCTTTTCTAGGGGGACTCCTGCCCCAAGGTCTGATGGGAATTCAATTTCCTATCTATTCCCCTGGCTTGGGAGTTTAGGGGCCCCCTGCTCCAGGGCAGTCTCCTACCTCTCTGGGGCTCTGACACTTGCTTTCTTTCCCCACGCCCCTAGGCCTGCAACTATCCCCTGGAACTGTATGAGGTGAGTGGAACTGAGTCCTGGAATGGAGACAATTTCATTCCTGTGATCTGTACCTTTCTCCCTTGATTTGTCTCATTTCCACACACCCAAACTGGACACATGGTTGGTGGCAGGTGTTATGCTTGCTGAGTAATCCTAGGTTAATCTGACTCAGATCCCCAAGGTAGGGACACAGTCACAGATATGATACTTAAATTCCTGGATGATGGGTTAATCGGAGCCCAGGGCCCTAAAGAAGCATAGAAGAGGCACCTTGGGAGGAAGGTGGTCAGGGAGGACTTCCCTGAGGAGGTGACACCTGCATTGATCCTTGAGTTTTTCTATTTATAATATTTATCACTGTGGCCTCGCTCTCCTCCACTCATTTACTCACTCACTGAACACCTATTTCTGGAGGTGTCACATTAGCTAATCCCTGTTCTGGAAGTAGAATCAGGCCATTGCCTGTGGTGCTCCTCTTCTAGTGTGAGGGAAAGTTACAGATAGAGACATTCACCATGAGAAGGCATATGTTTGATAATGGAGGTAGCCTCAGGCACTGGGGAGGTCCCAGAAGCACCTGGTACCACTTGAGAGAGTCAAAGAAAGCTTCGCAGAGAGGTGAGTCCTGGAGGATGAACAGGATTTTCCAGGCAAAGGAAAGGGAGACCAGATGTTCAGGCCAAAGGAAGGAATGCTCACTCCCTCATTTATTCTTTCACAAAAATTTCATTGAGCCCCTCTGTGGGTAAGGCATGGTCCTAGTCACTGAGGATATAGCAGTGAACAAGAGAGAGAAAAAAATTTCTGCCCCCATGGGGCTTGCACTTGGAAGAAAACATTGAATAAAATAAAGACGTAAATAATATGTTAGGAGACAATGAGTGCTGTGGAGAAAAATGAACATTAAGGAGGATAGGAGGTGCCATTGGGGAAGACTTTGTGTGTTTTTTTAAGATTTTATTGGGGAAGGGGAACAGCCAAGTTGTTGTCCTTCAGTCTTAGTTGTGGAGGGCGCAGGTAGCTCAGCTCCCAATTCTAGTCACCATGCAGCAGCTTGTCGGCATCTCAGGGCAGCTCAGCTCAAGGTGCCATGTCCAATCTTAGTTGCTGGTGGGTGTAGCCCACCATCCCATGTGGGAGTCGAACTGGCAACCTTGTTGTTAGGAGTATGTGCTCTCACCAGCTGAGCCGTCCTGTCACCTGTTGGCAGCTCAGCGGCGCTCAGCTCAGGTGCAGCTCACTGGCCCATGTGGGAATCGAACCGATGACCCTGTTGCTCAGAGTTCACGCTCTTAACTAACTGAGCCACTCGGTCAGCCCCTGATTTTTTTTTTTTTGAGATTTTTATTGGGGAATTGGGAAAGGGACCAGTGTTGGGGAATTGGGGGAGGGGAACATTGTGTTTTTCCAGGACCCATCAACTCCAAGTCAAGTTGTTGTCCTTCAATTTTAGTTGTGAAGGGCGCAGCTTAGTTCCAAGTCCAGTCGCTCCTTTCAATCTAGTTGTGTGTGTGTGGGGGGGTGCAGCCCACCATCCCATGCGGGAGTCGAACCAGCAACCTTGTTGTTAAGAGCATGCACTCTTACCAACTGAGCCACCTGGCTGGCCCAAGATTTTGTGATTCTAACAGCAGTTTGCTGCAGAGAAGGCTGCACTGAGAAAATACTATGTGGCAAAGACATCATGAGGGAGGGGAGAGAGTAGGCCATGGGGATAGCAGAAAAAAGAATTCCAGGCAGAGAGGGAAGAGCACATGCAAAGGTCCTGCGGTTGAGGCAGGCCAGCAGAGTCTTCAGCACAGGCTGGGGGTGGGGGAAGCACGAGATAAAGTCAGAGAGGGAAGGCAAGGTGTGTGTCTGTGTGTGTGTGCGCGCCTTGTCATTCATTGGAAGGATTTTGGCTTTTTAAGCCAAGTGAGATGGGAGGGTATCAGAGGTGGCTTGAGATGATTTAGGTTTGAACAAGATGACTGCCTCTGTATAGAGACTAGATGGCGGAAGGAGGAAGAAGGCTATCATGAAGACCAGGTGGGAGCAACAGGTGGCCTGGCCCAGAGGGACAGTGGTAACAGTGTTCAGATTCTGGGTCTGCTCTGAGGGTTGAGCAATAGGAATTGCATTGAGCACTCATCTCCTGAGATGGTCATCCACTCAACACCCTCTTGTGTTCCAAGCCATGTGCTGGGTGATGGTGGAAAAACAAAGAGGAGGGACAGTCTGGTTTTAAGGGGTTTTGATTTCTGGCTCTGCTTTTTACCCACTGTGTCACTTGGGGCAAGTTACTTAATGCCTCTGTGCCAGTTTTCTCTTCTCTAAAATGGGGGGCGATAACAGGGGTTTCCAGAGGATTTATGGCATATATTGGGTTGTCGGAAAAGTCATGACGTATTTTTTCTATGTTTCTATGCAAAAATGCATTGTGACTTTCCTGACAACCTAATAGTTAGCTCCCTAAGGGTTAAATAATAAATAAATCCTCCAGCTATGGGAAGTCTTAGAAAGTTCTTAAGCCAAGGAGGGTGTGTGGGGACAACTTTTATTTTCTCTCTGCCCCTTTCATTCTTGGATGCTGCCTCTCTTAGGGGCACACTCGTATTGGGTGTCTGACTATCTTGGGGTCTCTCCCCTTTCTCACAGCGGGTGCGGATGGGTCCCTCTTCCTCTCCCATCCCCTCTCCATCCCCTAGTCCCACTGACTCCAAGCGCTGTTTCTTCGGGGCAAGCCCTGGACGTCTGCACATCTCCGACTTCAGCTTCCTCATGGTTCTAGGAAAAGGCAGCTTTGGGAAGGTTGGCTTCCTGGGGCTCTGGAGGGAGAGGAGGATGTCTGGGGGGGGGATCACATTCTGGTCCCTAGAGGGAAAGTAAAAGGGAAGGGACACTAGGCTACTGAGCCCCCAGAGGGGGTTCCATGGGGCCCCTTCAGTCCCTGGAGCAGAGAGACATAAAGATGTGGATGCTTTCTCTGAGGGAGTGGTTGGCAAAGTCAGGGCACACTGTCCCTTGAATGGAAGATGCAGGACCTGGGATTCTGATTCTCTGTTTCCCTGAAAGGGAGAGTCAAGGACATGCACCCGTAGGGTTTTTACAACAGATGGGTCTTTCGGGCCTCTGTCCCTAGGTGATGCTGGCTGAGCGCAGGGGCTCTGAGGAGCTCTATGCCATCAAGATCCTGAAGAAAGACGTGATCGTCCAGGATGATGATGTGGACTGCACCCTGGTGGAGAAACGCGTCCTGGCCCTGGGGGGCCGAGGCCCAGGAGGCAGGCCCCACTTTCTCACCCAGCTCCACTCCACCTTCCAGACCCCGGTAAGGAAGAAGGGAGTGGACGCTGGCTCCGGAGCTCTGCTTCACTCCCCCTGGATGGGTCAGGCATGTGCTCCAGAATTCTTAGTTTATAGCAAGGCCAAAGAACTTCACGCTCTCTGAATGGGTGTGGCCAGACAAATGGCATCTTGAGTGGGCGTGGCCCCAGCGAGCTTGGTCTTGAGTGGTGTTTTTTGAGTAAAGGCGTGCGTGGAAAAGAATGTCTTTTGAGTGGTCGTGGCCAGAATTAGGACCTAGTCACTAGGTCATCCATCACTCTTGGATTCTGGGTGAAGTATTCGCTAGAAAGAAGGGTTTTCCAAGATTATTGAATGGGACAAGGAATCAGAACCATCAGGGTTTGAAAGGGAGTGACTACTTCCAAGAGCTCTGGTCAGCTTCTTGGATTTTTATATTATTATTCTTATTATTATCGTCATCATTAATTGCACATGAGGCCAGAACAACTTTAGTTCCTAATAACTGGCCAGAACTGCATATGTCTGTGAGTGGGTGTGGAAAGAAGAGGTTTGGGGATTTCCCTCGGATTTCCAGGGAATGGTGGCCCTCAAGCTTCAATTCTGAGAGGGTGGGACCAGAACACCTGTAGCTTCTTGTAACCGGATGGGGGGGTGGGGCGCATGGAAATTCTGAGTTGGCTTTGTCAGAATCGTCAGGGCCTCCCGGTGGGCGTGGCCATTCGTTCCTGGTTTCTGATTGGGTGGATCCCCAGCCTTTCACGTTTGTCTGGAGAGGAACTGTCCATTTAGAGACCCAGTTCCGCCCATTTCGCCTACCTATGCTGCTCGGATACAACGCCTGGTGGGCGTGTCCTCGCTTCTAAGCCATGCCCACTCGCCCCCAGGATCGCCTGTATTTTGTGATGGAGTATGTCACCGGGGGTGACTTGATGTACCACATTCAGCAGCTGGGCAAGTTTAAGGAGCCCCATGCAGCGTGAGTCTTGGTCCAGGAGAGGGTGGAGGGAAGGTGGAAGGACATAGGGTCCAGCCATTGACCTCTGACTCCTCATCTCCTTCTCCAGGTTCTACGCAGCGGAAATTGCCATAGGCCTTTTCTTCCTTCACAATCAGGGCATCATCTACCGGTGAGCAGCCCCAGGCCTTTCAAAAGAGGGAACAAGGCCCTTAGAGGGAAAGGGATTTGAATTTACTGCTGCAGCCTGTTGAACCCTTCCCGCAATTCCTACCCACCCCACCTCCACCCCCAGGGACCTGAAACTAGACAACGTGATGCTGGATGCTGAAGGGCACATCAAAATCACTGACTTTGGCATGTGTAAGGAGAACGTCTTCCCCGGGACCACGACCCGCACTTTCTGCGGAACCCCAGACTACATAGCCCCCGAGGTAACCGAGAGAACCAGGACCACAACTCACACTCCAAGTCCGCTAACTGGGTGTGGCTGGTTGTCTAGCATTTGTAATACGTGGGACCTGACCCAGCAATCTTTACATTACTTCTGGGCTTGTTTTTTTTTTTAGCTGAGTCATCCTGCCATCGGTTGGCAGCTCAGTGCCAGCTCATTTCGGGCCGGGAATCAAACTGGCGACCCTGTTGCTCAGAGCTCGCACTCTTGAGTGAGCTCTTAACCAACTGAGCCACTCAGCCGGCCCAGTCCTGGGCTTTTTAAAGGAAAACAGTGCATGAGAGGCCTGTGCGCTGAGCATTTGAAGTGGGCGGAGCTGGGTCTCTAAATAGGCAAAGTGGGTGGGACCTGTGGGTGAATATTCTAAAAAAACGGGACCAGCTCATAGGAATTCCAAGAGAACAGGGTCTGTTACTGGACTATTCTAAGAAGGTGGAGAGGATTTCCAGTTACTCTGGGTGGGTGGGGCCTGTCCCCCGAGAACACTAAGCGTGTGGAGGCTGCCTCCTGAATATTTCAAGTGGGCATTATATGCTCTGACTTTGTGAAGGGGGTGGAGCTCATGATCTGACTAGTATAAGTAGATAGTGTGCCCTGACTTCTTTCAGTTGAAGGAGAAGATGGTGTTGATCGTGCCTTGATCTTTCCAGTTGATTCAATGCTAGTGCCCGAGTAACCAAGGTCACTGGTTTCAAAACCTAGGAAGGTTTTGAAAAATACACACATATTCCTGCCTCTGATTCTGACTTATTGAGGCTGGAGTTCTTCAGGGCTGGAAACATCTATTTTTAAACAGTCCCCTAGATGAATCTGAAATGCATCCAGATTTAAGAATCTCTGGTGTCTGAAATTTAACTCTGTGCACCTGATATTGTAAGGAGAGGGTACAGTTACCTATGTTTTTTAGATGGGTGGAACTTGTGAGTTGGCCCTTAGATAATCTGTATTTGGGACCAAAGGAATGTTCTAAGTAGATAAAGTTTATTTTCCGGATTTCCTAAAGAATGGAGCTCCGGCCAAGGTATTCTGAGTGGGGGAAGTTTGTGCTGAAAATACTTAAAGTGGGTTAGGGTGCCCAGGGAGTGAGGCCAGAGTCTCTTAAAGCACAAAGCATGATTCCTTGCCTTCCATCCTCCCCTGCTAGATCATTGCCTACCAGCCCTATGGGAAGTCTGTTGACTGGTGGTCCTTTGGGGTTCTGCTGTATGAGATGTTGGCGGGACAGGTAAGGGAAACTGGGGAGAGGCTAGCTTGGCTAAAGACAGCACGGAGTGGCCTTTATCTCAGGAGTAGCAGGTTAGGAAGTGATGTCTATAGTCTAAGCCTTAGACTCTAAGGAGGTGCTAAGCGTAGGGGAAGGTCGCGTCCACATAGCGCTGTCCGTGGTCCTGAAGCATTATCTTCACCAGGCCGGGGTCTTAACCTTTTATGATTCCACAGACCCTTTCTCAGAACAATGTTTTCAAATGCACAAAATAAAATAATAGGATCACAAAAGAAAGCAATCATATTAAAATATGATTATAAAAACAAAAGATTTAATTGAATCTAATTTAACCACCTAAAAAATTTTAATTTCAATGTATACAGTTGCTTAAATATTAGGTGACATATACGTAGACATATAAGTGATTTCCTACTAGTGAATTAAATAGTAATACTTCACAGGAATGGAAAGTAAATAGGAAGTTCTATCAGTAATCTTGAAGTAGAGATGACTGATATTTTGAGATATCTACAACTCTGATGTGATAAGAAAATATCTGTGATTCCTATTGGTGATGAAGCCACAAGTACTACTGTTGCGGTTCGTTGCCTACGTTTGTAATTGAAGGGAATGCTAAATTTCACTTAGACATGAAAAAGAATAAAGATGCATTTCTTCCCCGACCAAGTTCATGGACCCCCTCCACTCTATAAAAAAAAATCTCCAGATCTCACATAAAGAATCTTTGCCTTGGTGTTGCTCTTCCTAAACCCAGAAGACAGAAGACCACTCATCCAACCAGAATGCTTGTACAGCTTTTCCTGCAGTTTTTCTCTCTCTTCTATTTAAATGACATATTGCCTAATTAACACCCTGCTGATTTACATAGCAGATAGAAAAAAACAGAACAGCAAAGAAGTGCGGAGAGCTGAAGCACCTGAGATAGGAAACCAGAGCATCTGAGAGGGAGAAAGATAAAGCTTTGGTGGTTTTCTTATATGTTTCCATAGGATGTTGGGGGTGGGGGTATGTTCATGGTGGGCGATGGGGGTGTGGAAGGTGGGGAGAGGTAGTCTGTCAAGTCTCTGACTCTTTATTCCTTCTATTTCCTTAGCCCCCCTTTGATGGGGAGGACGAGGAGGAGCTGTTTCAGGCCATCATGGAACAAACTGTCACCTACCCCAAGTCACTTTCCCGGGAAGCTGTGGCCATCTGCAAGGGGGTGAGAGCCCTCTGACTCCCAGATTATCCAGACTCACAACCCATGCACCCTACTGCTGCAATCCAGGGCTGCCCACGCAGTCTCTGTACATTAGAAAGGCTCCCACTCCTCATGCCACTTTACTTCCATCTGCTGGAAAAGTTTACACAGTACAGACATTTTGTTATAACAATAGTTCACTCCCCTGTTGCCACTACAGTCCAAGGATGGCCTCTGTCCCATCCTCCTCTGCTGCTGCCCCCATGCCCCAGCTCACTGCAGGAAGGGCTGGAAAGTCAGGACCTGCCTCTTCAGAACCAGGTGGATCAGGGGTACCTAACTCCTGCCACTTGCCGTCCTGCAGGATCTTGGGAAAATCACCGAAACTCTGGGAGCCTCAGTCTCCCTCTGGGGTTATGAAGTTAATGCAAGAGAAAGAGACTATCCTATAGCAGCTTTTTAACAGGTGTCAGCACACGTGTGCTTCCAGCTCCTGTCTCCATGTCTCTCTCTCTCTCCTTCTCTCCCTCTCTCTGTTTCTCTCTTGTCCCTCTGCCTCCAACTATATATCATGGGGCTTTCTCTCCCCTTTCTCTGTGTCCTTTGGGATGTCTGTTCACCTTTTCCATCTCTGTCCCCCTCTCTCTCTGGGTCTCTGTTACCTTCTTCCCCCCACTCCCATACACACACACTCTGGATCTATCTCCTGTCTTTCTGGATCGTCCCCCCCCCAACTCCTACCTTCTCTGGGTCTCTGCCCTCTGGGTCTCCCCCTCTCTCTGGATCTCTATTCCCCTTTTTCTCTAGATCTCTAATCTCTCTCTCTCTCTCTCTATCTCTCTCTCCTCCTCCTCCTCTCTTCCTCCTCCTCCTCCCCCTCCCTTCCTCCCTCTCCCTCCCTTTTTCCTTGTTCCCTTCCAATCCTGGGTTTCTCTGCCCCTGATTTTTCTATTTCTCTGTCTGTTCCTGGCTCTCTGGATTTGTATTTCATCTACCCCACTCTCATTTATTCTCTCTCTTCCTCTTTCTCCTCCCCCATCTCTGTCCCCCCTTGGTATTCTTCTGTTCCTGGATTTCTGTGCTTGTGCCTCTCTGTTCCTCCATCCTTGTCTCTCTCTCCCTTTCTCATTCTCTGGGTCTCCCTGTCGGGGGCTCTGTCCGTCCGTTTGTCTCTCTGTGTTCCCCACAGTTTCTTACCAAGCACCCAGCGAAGCGCCTGGGTTCAGGTCCTGACGGGGAACCCACCATCCGTGCGCATGGCTTTTTCCGCTGGATCGACTGGGAACGGCTGGAACGGTTGGAGATCCCGCCTCCGTTTAGACCCCGCCCAGTAGGTCAACTTCAAGAAAAAAACCTTGGTCCCTGGGGGTGGGACACCCAGGAGCTCCAGTACCTATATGAGGAGGTGGGGTGGGGTTCCCTCTGCGGAGACCCCCTAAAGGGAGATGCAGAGGCCACGAGGATGTACAGAGATTCCAAAGGAGATAGGAGATGGATTTGTGGGACAGAGCTGGGCACCTAAGGAGCCGGCAGAGCGTCATGTTTCCCTCCCTGTTTCCTTCCCATAGTGTGGCCGCAGCGGCGAGAACTTCGACAAGTTCTTCACGCGGGCGGCGCCAGCGCTGACCCCCCCAGACCGCTTAGTTCTGGCCAGCATCGACCAGGCCGATTTCCAAGGCTTCACCTACGTGAACCCGGATTTCGTGCACCCGGATGCCCGCAGCCCCATCAGCCCAACACCTGTGCCAGTCATGTAATTCCCATCCACTGACACCAGGTGTCTCCACGGCTCCTTCCTCCGCGCCAGCCTCGGCCCCACTTCACCACCCTCTTTCCAATTCTAGATGCTGCCCCCCAGCATTCTGGCCCCTGCCCCTTGGGTGCCAGATGCCCCTCAAGTGTTCCTGGAATTCTCAACTCCATACAGTCTCTAGAGCCTTCCTGTGCTCTACATTCTGCTGCGCTGAGCCCTAGATTCTCACTCACCTCGGTGTTCTGGACTCTGCTCCACCGGATTCCGGAACCAGCACCCACCATCCCCTATCCCATGGAGTTCTAGACTCTATCTTGGTAGACTCTCTGCCTCTCCTTTTTTGTTTTTTTTGTTTGTTGTTGCTGTTGTTGGAAATAGTCTCATGGGGTGGGCTGTTCTAGACTGGAATTCTAGGACAACTCCCAACCTCCGAGGCCCCGCCCACCCCCACTCCATTCTGGAGTAAGTGGGAGGCTGTGCCCCCGTGCTCCAGTGCCCTCTCCCATGCCCCAGGGATTCCTGGGTTGTGGGGAGGATCCTTTTCCCAACTGTTCTCAATCAGCTTTCGTTCTAGACTCCCCCATCCTAAACCCATCCCTGCCCACCTGCCAGGTGCATGGCTCCATTCCTGCTCGGAACTCCTCCCATGCCTGCCACTTTCGGGGACCGCCCCCCATTCCTCTTCTCTTTGCCTTTTCCTCTCGGCCACAGCTGCTGGAGAATAAATTTGGGATGCTGACGCTGAGGTTTTTGGATGTTTTCTTCTAAGCTTGAAGAGGAAGGGGGTGCGGAGATGGGACAATGACATACATAGAAACAAATAGAGAAAGAGAGAGGCTGGAGAGGGGGTAGCAGAGAGGGAGACAGGGAAAGTAAGGAGAACCATAAAGGGAGAGAAGATACCCACAGTAGGAGAGCAGAACAGAGAGACAGAGAGACCCACAGAGAGGACCAAAGGGTACACATGCACAAGGTGGAGATAGATGTCCATAGACCACTGAGGGGGTTAAGGAGAGACTCCAGGCACAGAGCCACAGAACTCACATTCTCAACCAGAGCAACACACAAGCTCACAGATAACACTCAGACCCAGACACTGGGAAGTCCTGAGAAGAGAGATGAAAGTCAAGCCTCCCACTGAGAGACCTGCAGACTTGAGCAGAGGGACAAACTCCACGACAGAGAAGCCTAAACACCAGAACCATGAGCTTAAGGATCAGCGACGAGGCAGCAGGCAGACGTGTCTTCCAGGCCTCCTTCCCTTGACCCACTTGCGAGCGCGGGGGAGTAGAGAGACAGTGCAAATAGACTACACATCCCAACAGTCACCGCGGCGGACCCTTCCCCCAAATGCGTCCCCTCGTCCCCAGGGCTGATGGGAAGTGTAGTCCCTGGAGAGGGCCAGGCTGGTCGAATGATGTGCCTATATCTGTGTGGAGGGATTGAGCCCCAAAGCTTCACAGGCTCCCTCGGGGCGCCCAAAGTCTCTTTGTCCCTCTTGGTGTTCCGGGACTCGGTCCAGTTGAATGCTGGTACTCTCCCTGTCTCCCTCCAGCACCAAAGAGGTACCCCATCCGGTGCCCATGGCCCCCAGCCCCCGTTCGGACCCTCGGCGGGCGTGCCTGCCCCTTTAAGAGTGGCCCCGCTGACATCACGGCGGGGGGGTGGGGGGGAATGCTGGCCCGGCTCCCGGCTCCGCGGCCGCTGCAGGACCCGGCTCAGCTCTGCGCCCGCCTGCCGCTCTGGGGACCCCGGCCTGGGACGCCCCTTCCCACCTCCTCCAGCCTCCCAGACCCCAGGCTCCGCCCCAGGCCTGGCTAGAGCCCTAGTCCTCCATCAGGGGACCCCCAGGATTGCCCCCAGGTGTCTCTCCTTCTCAGGGTTTCTCTCTCTCTCTCTCTCTCTCTCTCTCTCTCTCTCTCTCTCTCTTTCTCTGGCTCACGGTGTCTGAGTCTCAGCATCTCTCAGCCCAAGGCCTCTGAGGGACTCCTGTCTCCTTCCTCCAGTCTCCTTCTGTCTCTGCCTCTCTGACCTCTCCACTTCCAGTGCCTCAGAATCTCTGAGCCTGGGGAGAGCGGGGGTCTAGGACCCGATCTCTGTCTCTCCTTTTTTCTCTCTGTCTCTTTTAAACCATCTCTGAGTCTCTCCTCCGGCCCCCAGACCTGCGAGTCTCAGGATTTCTCAGCCTCAAGGTCTGGGTGTGACTAGGTCCTCTGCTGTCTCTCACCCCTCTGGGTGCCCCTGCACCTCTCGGCGCTCTGCTCTGTTTCTATTCTCTCCTTTCCTGCCTCCCCCATTCTCAAGGCCCATCTCGCCCCCCTCCCTGCATCCTACCCCCTCCCTCCCCGCCCCT